TATCAAAGTTCATTTACAAATATGCCTGAATAATTCTATAACTATTAAAGAAATGGGAATTTGTAATTTAAAGCCTTTCCACAAAATTTTTAAAAATAGGCCAGATGGCTTCACTGGCAAATTCTACCAAGCATTTGAGTAAGCAATGATACTAATTCTATACAATCTCTTCTGAAATAGAAGGAGACAAAATACTTTCCAATTCAGGCCAGCATCATTCTGATACCCAAAACAGATAAAGACATTGTAAGAAAAGCAGTATCTCCCATAAACATAGATGCATCCATCCTCCATTAAAACATTTGTAAATTGAATGTAACATATAAAAAGGATAATACACTACAACTTAGTGGGGTTTATCCTGGAAATGTAAGGCTGGTTCAACATTTAAAAGTTAATTGATACATTTCACCATATCAACAGACTAGAGATGAAAAATTTTATGACTTTTCAATAAACACAGAAAAAATAGTTGTCAAAATTCAATACCAGGCCCGGTGCAGTGGCTCACGCCTGTAATCCCAGCAACTTGGCAGGCTGAAGCAAGAGGATGGCATGAGTTTGGGAGTTTGAGGCTACAATGAACTAGGATCAAGCCGCTAACTCCAGCCTGAGAGACAGAGGGAGACCCTGTCTCTTAAAAAAAGAGAAAAAAATGTTTAAATTCAATATCCACTCATGAAAAAAACTCTCATACAAAAGAAATAGAGCTAACATAATGATAAAAGACTGAACGTTTTCTGCTTAAAACCAGGAATATGACAAGGATGTCTACTGTTGCTATTCCTATTCAGCATGGTACTAGCAGTTACAATTAATACAACAAAGTGCAGCTGGGCATAGTGGCTCACACCTGTAATCCCAGCACTTTGGGAGGCTGAGGTGAGAGGATTGCTTGAGCCCAGGAATTCAAGACCAGCATAGGTAACATAGCAAGACCTCATCTCTACAAAAATGAATAAATAAATTAGCAAGTATGGTGGCGAATGCCTGTGGTACCAGCTACTCAGGAGGCTGAGGATGGTGGGCCCCTTCAGCGCAGTTGTATGCTGTGGTGAGTTGCAATCGTGTCATTGCACTCCAGTCTGAGCGACAGAGTGAGACCCTGACTCGAAAATAAATAAATTTTTAAAAATAAAAATAAAAATACAATAGAGTAAGAAATAAAAGGCATAGGGATCAGAAAGAAGCTGTTTCTATTCATAGACAACATGGTCTACAAAGCTTCTACCAAAAAAGTCCTGAAACTAATAAATGAGAAACGGTCAATGTCATTCAAAGCCATAGCTTTTACTCCAGATTTTCTATCTTCAGATCCTTATATTAAACTGCCAACTGGATATCTTCATCTGTATGTCTCAGGAACTCCTAAGACTCAGTATTTCCAATCTGAATTTATTATCTCTCCAAACTTGAACTTTAAAAAATATTCCTATTCATTTGGGAATGTCAACAATTTACTTACTCTAGTACTTATAGCTTTCCAATATTCATTTATCCATCCACCATGCTAAAATAAAATTGGAGATTCATCTTAAATTCTTTCTCTTACCCACCCCACCTAATTGGTCAGTTAGACTATCAGTTATTTTTTATTTCTTGAGTCAGGGTCTCACTCTGTCACCCTGACTGGAGTGCAGTGGCATGATCTCAGCTCACCACAGCCTCGACCTCCTGGGCTCAAGTGATCCTTCTGCCTCAGCCTTCCAAGTAGCTGAGACTACAGGTGCCAGCCACCATGCCTGATTAATTTTTAGAAAATTTTTTGTAAAGATGAGGTCTTGCTATGTTGCCTAGGCTGGTCTTGAACTCCTGGGCTCAAGCAATCCTTTCACTTTGGCGACTATCAGTTAATTTTTGTTATGAAACAAACTGCTACAAACCTAAAGCCTTAAAACAAATATTTTTTATTTCTTGTAATTCTTTGTGTTAACTGGCTAACTCTTCTGGGTCTGAACCATCATAACTGGAACTGGATGGTCTAGGATGACCTCATACATATGTTTGGGGCCTTAACTGGTAAGGCTGACAGCTGGGACAACTGGAGCCACTGTCCAAATGGCCTCATCTTCTAAGAGATTTAATCACATCGTGGCAAAAGGTTTTTGCCAGCAAAAAAAACAAACAAACATGTAAGTCCCAATGTGCAAGAATTCTTCAAGGCTCTACTAACATTACTCAATGCCAAAGCAAGTCATGTCAATCAGTCTGGGAGGAGACTACCCAAGGGTACGGATACAGGAAGGTATGAAAAATGGGTGTAGATAGTGGGAAGGGCTGGGGTCATACTGCAACAATGTATCACGCTTAATCCTATTGATTCTATTTAATAACCTCTCCAATCTCCTTCTTCCTCTTGAATCTCACTTCACTGAGTACAAGTTCAAGACCTTCTCATCTTGTACCTGAATTACTTATAATGGTCTCCTAATCTAGTTTGCATTGCTACAATCTATTGGGATGTGAATTTTCTGAAAGACACAAATTCAATCACACAACTCTGCTGCTTAAATCTCAATAGCTTCCTTTGGCCATTAGAACAAACCAGAGGCTAGGCGCTCATGCTGTAATTCCAACACTCTGGAAGGCTGAGGCGGAAAGATTGCTCGAGTCCAGGAGTTTGAGATCAGCCTGGGCAACATAGCAAGACCTCCTCTCTGTTCTTTTTTTTTTTTTTTAATCCTAAAAAAGAATAAACTCCTAAGCAAGGCCCACAAAGTCTTTCATTTTCTAGGCCCCACTTACTATTCCCTGGTCTGTACTGTATTCTTCCAAAAATGAAAAACAAGGTTTTAAAGGATGATATTTCAATACTATGGCTTTCCACATGATGTTGTTTCTATTTGGAGTGCCCTATTTAAAGCAAATATCAACTTAGTCTTCCAATTTCATCTTAAATGCTATAAATGTTAATAAAACATTTCTTCCCTGACAAAGCCAAAGGCTCCTCCCCTTGCTTCTATTGCAACTCACACAACCTTCAGTTAGCGTTTACTCCAACATACTATAATTATTTGTCTGCAGGCCTGTCTAACCACTTACTTCACTGTATGGATGGGAACTATGTCATTTTTTGTCTCTCTCTCCAACATCTAGCACTATTCTTCACACTAAGTATTCACCAAAGGCTTTTTGAATTAATCACAACTAAAATATCTACTTCCAACATTCCAGATGCCAGTGGAAAGAAACTTGTAAGTCTGCCACCAATTCAAATCTTCTCAACTCAGTACTCTACTTCTAATATGTTGTTTTAATCAAGTTATTTGAGTGAAATGCAGTTCCAAGTATTCTAATAAACTTTCAGTTATCTTCAATATCTTCAGTGTTTTGAATATGTTAAATTGATTATTTTTTGAGTAAGGGTTTCATGATGTGTCACCCAGGATGGAGTGCAGTGGCACAATCATGGCTCACTGCAGCCTTGACCTCCTGGGTTCAAGGATCCTTCTGCCTCAACCGCCTATGTAGCTGGAACTACAGGCAGGTGCCATGATACAGGGCTAATTTTGTGTGTGTGTATGTAGAGGTGAGGTCTTGTTATGTTGCCCAGGCTGGTCTCCAAACCCTGGGCTCAAGCTATCCTCCCACCTTGGTCTCCCAAAATGCTGGGATTATAGGCTGAACCACTGTGCCAGGCCTTAAAATGAGAATTTAAATATACCATTAGGTGTACTAAATTTACACCTAATGTACGAAAATTATCAATGTACTAGAATATACTGGTGCTCCATTGTGGCTGTAGCTGAATTATGTGAGATTCTTTTTTTAATGTTTCCTAAATTTTCTACATTATGAAGTTTAAAATAAAAATATCCATGTCATCGTTGGAATGGTAGAATACATACAAACCAGTTCCCTTGGAAAATAGTATAGCCCAAAGCCTGGCTACTGGTGGTTGTGCGGTATATGCATGGAATACGTTTAGTATAATTTAAAATATATTTAGGCCTGTGGTAGTGCGCGCCTGTAGTTCCAGCTACTTGGAAGGCTGAGGCGGAAGGATCGCCAGAGACCAGCAGGTCAAGCCACTGAACTCCAGTCTGGGCGACTGAGTGAGACTCCAACTAAAAAAAATAAAATAAAATAAAAAATAAAATATATTTAGGCCATGGATCAAAAAGGCAGGAGTTTTTTGTTGTTTAAACTTCTTTTTCTAAATGACTTTAATTTTACAACAGTTTTAGATGAACTGAATTATTGCAAGGACAGCAGAAGCACCTATACCCCCCCCAAGACAGGTTTTTCAACTCTTAACTTCCACCTCCACCCCCCACGCAAACTCTGCGGCCCCTGTCTGCCTCGGATCCGAGTTTGGGCAAGGCCTGGCTCGTGCAGCGCCACTTCAGGATCCCAACGAAAACCCAGTGCAGTTAAAGCCTCGCCGCCCAGTCAAAACTGGGTCAAGAGTTACGCTAGCGAAACTCGAACCCGGAAACCCCCGACGCTCCGGCCCCACCCAGCCCCGCCCACGTGGCTGCTCCGGCGGCGGCCTCGGGAGACCGGGAGCCTCGGGAGGGAGGACTCAGAGGGACGAGCCGGGGGCGGGGCTGAGGCGGCCCTCAGTTTCGGGGCCCTCCCCCGAGGGCAGGTTCCCGGAGCCTCGACGTCGTCGACCTCAAAGCGCCCAAGTCTCGGGAACGTGTGGCGAGTCACACACAAATACGCAACCCGTGACGGCGGCTGATCGTTGAGCGCCACGCCTGCAGGCCGCCCTCCGGCGCAGCACCCTGCTTTCCGCACCCAACAGCCCCGACGGCCGCGAGGCCCCCTCTCCGCGCGGCGCGTGGGCGGGACTAGGGCGCGGCGTTCGGGGGCGGGGCGTTATTCGTGAGGATACCGTTTAGTTTTCTTCAACTTTGATTTTCTTGGTTACTTTGAACATTTTAAGTCATACTTTTTTTCTTCTGCCATAACCTAAATAAAGATGAACTCTTTTATACTTTATAAGATTTAAAAAGAGATTTTTAAC